GCTCAGTGGAATAAGCGCTTCCCTGGCAAGCGCAAGGGCCTGAGTTCAATCCCTGGTTCCACCAAAAAAAAAAAAAAAAAAAAAAAAAAAAAAAATCAAAAACTTCATCAACAGCCTTCTGAGCTATTTCTCTGCTGATATTCCTAAGAGCTAGAATAGAAAGAATGGCTGTCTCGCACACAAGTCTGATGGTGTCGTTCTAATCCAAAATGCAACCTAAATATTCCATTTTACAAGTGAGCAGTCTCCACTGAAGCTAACAGCTCGAACCTCTGAGCATGCCAAATGTCTGACATTGGTGAACCAATTGACATGAGCAGGGCAATGATCAAACACATGAATGAGCTTGTGGGTGACCACTCAGTTCATATGGGCCTGATTTGGATATTAGTCTGGCACAAAACAATCTGAGACGAGGAAGCCTCAAAACCTCCACTGACATTTCCATTCTAGTCTTCACAAGAAAAGTGTCTTTCTTTGTTAATAGTACAACCTGAGTGTTTCATAGCATCAAGGAGAGGTTTGCCATGTGGATCTTAAAGGAGAGAGATTCATTTTGGCTCACAGTTTGCAGAAGTTTCAGTCCAGTCAGCTGACCCCAAGCCACAGCAACTTAGCAAAGGAGTAGCAGCTCAGGGCCTGGCAGCAGGAAGGAGCTATTCTTTTTTTTAAACTCCGTATATATTTGGATCCTTGCTATATTGGGCACTGGAAAATAGTAATCAAGAATGAATAACTAGGGGCACAGGAGATGGCTCAGTGGAATAAGCGCTTCCCTGGCAAGCGCAAGGGCCTGAGTTCAATCCCTGGTTCCACCAAAAAAAAAAGAATAACTAAATTTCCATAATACTTATGATAATATTTATGGTAAACATGGGGCTGGTGAGATGGCTCAGTGGTCTAAAGCACCTACTTAGAACAAACTTAGCAAAACACAGGGACCACAGTTCAATCCCCCAGCACCACATGCCAGCCAGCCCCTGGTGGGCTGAGCTGGCCACACACACACACACACACACACACACACAAATAAATAAATAGAAATTAAAAAAAAATATTTATGGTAAACATGTCTGTGTGAGACATTCCTCTGAGTACTTTGCTTGTGTTTGGCACTCTTTTTGTTAAAACACATTATCCTGCATTCACAGTATTAAAATTAACCTGTGTAATGTTATACATGTAGTCAAGTATAATCTGTAGCCTTTTTAGTTTTTTCCACATATGGATCCTCTTCATTGTCCAATTTAAGTGAATATTCTTTGGGAAACTTCCAAAAAAAAAAAATTCTTGTTATATACAGGATCAGAGTACATATAATTGTGCTTCATGGAAGTAGTGTAAGAACAGAGAAAGAAATGATGACTGAGTGAACAGTGCTCCCATTTCGTTTGTAGATTGCTATATATAGTTTGGATGGAGGTTTGCAAGCCTATTTGCAGCTCTACTGTTTCAAGTGAAAGACACTGGGCTAGAGACTGAAATAGCAAAGTACCCTTGTGGCTATGTAATCCTCTTCATTTTGTTTGGCTTTTTTTTTTCTTTATAATCCTACAAACATAAACTAGTGAAAGGGAAATGAGTTCCAGTCCAGATCTTTCTGAGCATACTTAATCAGTCACCTTATTGTTTTGGCCTTATTATTTACCACATTTAGCTATACGTGATTTTCTCATTTTATTTTATCTATCTTATGGGGGGGCCTAAGTGGTGTACTATGGACCTACATCACCAGTTGGAGGCTTCCTCATTCAATTATGAGTTTGTAAGTCCAGTAAAAGGACATGAAAAAGGATGAAGTGAGATTTGCATCCATTCAGTTTTTTTTTTTTTTTTTTTTTTGCGGAACCAAGGATTGAACTCAGGCCCTTGCCAGGCAAGCGTTTATTCTACTGAGCCATCTCCCCAGCACCCCCTCCCCCCATCCATTCAGTTTTGTTTCTTGGTGACAGGCAGAAAGTTAGTTTGAGGACAAACTTGAGGAATTTGGCTAAATATCATTCCAGGTTGTACCTTTTACTTCCACAATTTTTTTTATTTTTAGTATTTGGTACAGGGTCTCACTACGAAGCTCAGACTTACAGTGATCTTCCTGTTTTTAGCCTCCCCAGCACTGGGATTACAGTGTTGTGTTACCAAGCCAGGTCTCAGTGGCTGGCTCAGCAAGCCTAGGGGTGTGGGTCCAGGCATATGGTCCCTGCACTGGCCTAAGCTGGTGCTTAAGTCTCTGAGCTGTCCTACTTCCACAGTTTAATACTACTAAAATTTATATCTTAAAATCAGTGCATGCATCCAACATGCAGTAGTAGGGTTTTTTTTTCCCCTTGCAAAACTGTTTCTAAATAGTATCTTTTTGTTTTTTGTACCAGGAATTGAACTCAGGACCTTGTGCTTGCCAGGTAGGCGCTATGCTGCTGAGCTGTATACTTAACCCTGAGCTATATTCCTAGCCCATTCTCAGTTCTTGCTAGATATGTACTGTGTCAATGAGTTAACCTCACCTACCCAAAGAACATTATTATGTGAATATTCCCTTCCTGCTTTATCTTTTTTTGATACTGGGAATCAAACTCATGACCTTGCACTTGCAGGGGAGGTGCAGTGCCACTGAGCTATATCCTTAGCCCTGTCTTTGTCTTTTTAAAAAAAAAATTATTATTTAATTTTTTATTATCTATCTTTGTCTTAATATATATATTTACATCCTGTTTAATGGAAAAGACCTAGCTAACCCATTAGTCCTGTATCATAGGTTCAATAACTATGTCAGTCTTGTTAAGCTCATTTGAAAGTATCCAATTAGATTATGTCCAGTACAGTTAATATGTTTAATCTTTTAGGTGTGCCTAATAAGTAAACTTGTGGTTATATTTTCACCTTGTATTCTTTTTTTTTTAAAACATTTATTTATTTATTTGTGTGTGTGTGTGTGTGTGTGTGTGTGTGGCCAGCTCAGCCCACCAGGGGGCGGGGCTGGCTGGCATGTGGTGCTGGGGGATTGAACTGCGGTCCCTGTGCATTGCCAAGCTTGTTTCAAGTAGGTGCTTTAGACCACTGAGCCATCTCTCCAGCCCCACCTTGTATTCTTTTATAATAAACTTTTAAAATAACTTGCTTTTGAAGATTTTATTTGGCTTTATGTAAATACTCATTTTTGTTCACTGCTTCTGCCTTTTGGCTTACCTCAGAGCGAGGGAAAATTAAAAGAGCATCATGGAAAAGGAATATAGCGTTACCTACTAGTTGACCCAGATTTGTATGGGAAAATATACAAAATCCAAGGTATGGCTTTTCAAATAATAATGTCATTTCACTGACTTTGCTACTTAACCTGACTACAAAATAAATGGTAGTATAGAAGTGGAGAGAACATACTAAATGTGCAGTTTTATTCTTACTATGGTTGCGTTTAAAGATATTTTAGTGAACATATGAAATTTGCCATCAAATTTTATATTTATTTATTTTTGGTGCTGGGAATAGAACTCAGGACATTGCGCTTGCCAGGCAAACACTGTGCCGCTGAACTACATCCCAGCCTCAAATTTAAAAATACATTTTTTGGGTGTCTCAGTTACTCCTCTCTCATTGCTGGGACAAATACCCAACACTCAGAATGAAGGAAGGAAAAGTTTATTTTAGTTCATAGTTACTGGAGGTTTCAGTCCATACAAAGCTGGCTTCAAGACATACTGGCACATAACAAGAGAGTAAAAGAAAGGAGTAATAGCATCCATGGCTACAGAGAGCAAATCTGTCTCTCTTAAGTTGCATTCAGGCTATCCTCTACAGGCTAGGTGTAGTACTTACACCCATAATCCCAGCAGCACATGATTTAATCACAAACTCTACAAGTCTGCCACATAATTTACATGAGGCTTTGGGGGATAACTAGACACCATAACATCCTGCCCTTGGATCCCCAAAGACTCATGCATATCCCTTTATACAAAAAGCATTTTAGGGAACAGGGAGATGGCTCAGTGGAATAAGTGCTCCCTGACTTCAATCCCTGGTTCTGCAAAAAAAAAAAAAAAAAAAAAAAAAAGTTTTTTCCCCTCTTTTAAAGGGGTCAAAAATCCCTTTTTTTTTTTTTTTTTTTTTTTTTTTTTTTTTTTTTTTTTTTTTTTTTTTTTTTTTTTGTGGAACTGGGGATTGAACTCAGGCCCTTGCGCTTGCCAGGCAAGCACTTATTCTACTGAGCTATCTCCCCAGCCCCTAAGTCCTACAGTTTTAGCATTGCTGAAAACTCCAAGTCCCAAGTCTCCTCCAAGATCTAAGGCTCACTCTTAGGTGTGAGCCCCAGTACAAATGAAATGTTAAACACTTAAAACCTTCAATGACACAAAATAAATGTTACCATTCCAAAAGGTACACACAGCAGGATACCAAGCATTAGGACCAAAGCAAGTCCAAAATCCAGAGGGACAAACATTAAGACCTGTAGTTGCATGTGGAACATCCAAAGCAATCTGTGGCAAATTGTGAGCTCCATGTGGCTCTGCCCCTATGGCCCTCCTGGTGGTAGTGCCCACAGTCTGTCTTGGGTTGGCTTTGCTCCCTCTTTATAGTTTCCCTTAGATGGTCCATGTTCCTGGCTTTTCCAAACTTCTGGGGTTTCCATCCACTTCTTTTTTTTATTTTTATTTTTTTAAAATTTATTTATTTATTTTGTGTGTGTGTGTGTGTGGCCAGCTCAGCCCACCAGGGGGCGGGGCTGGCTGGCATGTGGTGCTGGGGATTGAACCGTGGTCCCTGTGCTTTGCTTAGCTTGTTCTAAGTAGGTGCTTTAGACCACTGAGCCATCTCACCAGCTCCCATCCATCTACTTCTCACTCACAGCTTTACACACTTCCCTCTCAGGCACACTGCCTGGCTTCCCAGGCCTTCTTCTGAAATCGAGGTGGAAGCCTTCTTAACCTCAGAACTCCTGCATTCTATAAGCACCTAAAACCAGTGCCACGTGAATGATGCCAAGGTCTGCTGCCAGCTGGAGCAGTAGCCAGGCTTCCTTCTCTCTTGGCTGTAGTGTTCCGAGTGCCTGGATTGCTAAGCACTCTGGCCCTGATTCTGAGGAATAAATTCTCTGTGCTGGCATCATTCTGGACCCTGGTGTGGCCCTTGCAGCCATTCTGGAACATGGGGCTCTGTGACTTTTTCCTGAAGACAAAGTCCCTGACACCTTGCAATTCTGAGGCTGCAAAGGATGGACACTTGCTGCCTCCTGTGATGCCTTCAGGCTATCCTTTCCTTTCTCTGGTTCCTCCTTTAGGCAGTAGAAATCCTCTCAGCTCTATCTTTGCATTCCATAGCTTTATTGGAGCTTCCTTTTTGGCCAAACTTTTTTTTTGCCAAACATTTTAAACCATCCTGCTGGTCTCTTTGCTCTTGATTCTTAACGTAAATCTGGCTAAAAGCCCCCAACAACAGCCATGTACTCCCTTGATATTTGGCTGCTTTGAGAAATTTCTTTTGAAAGATGAATCAGTCTGCCATGCTTAAACTCTCAGGCAAAGTCTCTGGACACGAGCAAAATTCAAACAAACTTTCTGCCAAGCTGTAGTATAAATCATCCAGAGTCCAACAACCAGTGCAGTCCTTCCCAGCAGAAGCCTCCCCAGCCTGATTTTTACAGGCAGCATTTCAGCCTTCTGGCCTAAGCTCTGGCCAGAATCTCATATACAGAATAGCCAAAGCTGTTCTAATGCTTCTCTTGTAGGCAACATCTCTGAACCTTTCTTGTTTCTTTGCATAAGCCATTCTCAAAAGCTTGCAGTCCACATGGTAGGGTTAGCCACAGCAACTACTCCGCTTCTCTGGTACCAAATTCTGTCTCAGTTACTCTTCTCTCATTGTTGGGACAAATACCTGACACTCAAGATGAAGGAAGGTAAGATTTATTTAGCTTACAGTTACTGAAGGTTTCAGTCCATACAAAGCTGGCTCCAAGGCACACTGGCACATAGCAGAGAGCAACCTTTCATGGTAGAAGAGAGCAAAAGAAAGGAGTTACAGCCATAATGGCTACAGAGAGCAAGTCTGTCTCCCTTATGTTGCACTCAGGCTATCCGCCCCAGGCTGGGTATAGTACTTACATTCATAATCTCAGCAGCACTCACACCCATAATCCTAGTGGATCATGAGTTAATCACAAACTCCAGAAGTCCACCCCATGACTTACATGAGGCTTTGGGGGGACAACTAGACACAAACCATAACATTGGGTCAGGAAGATAGCTCAGTGGCATAAGCTTCTGCCTAGCAAGTGCAAGGTCCTGAGTTTGATCCCCGGTACCAAAAAAAAAAAGAAAATTGTTTTGTTCGTTTTTCATAGGAAAGCTAGAGAGCCATTGGTCTGATCAACAGCAGCAGTAGCTGATTTATTTCTCCTTTTTTAATTCATTTGTTTAGACTCACATTGTATTGCTGAGTCATTACTAAGAAATAGAAACTGTCTTTGACCCTACAGGAGACCAATTCTTGGACACTATTATAAGCTTGACTGGGACATTTTGAACTTAGACTGTAGTCATCTAACACACAAGATAATGAAGTTGGGGAGTAAAAGTAATTACATTATCTATTGTCAATTCCTGTTTAATTTGGAATTCAGGTTAGTAGTCTGGAAATAACTTGTTTTTTTTTTTGCATTGTATTTTTTTATTGGACGTAGAAAAGGAAGATAGTCTAATATTAGGGAAATTTTCAGAGAGTTTCTCACACATTTTAGGGGTTCTTTGTAAGTTCAGCTCATTTTCTAGCAGCAGCATCTATAATGTTGTGCAGTACTAATGATACCACAGCATGTGAAGCTGTAGGACTCTCAGGATTTGTTTTGTTTTGAGATAAGGTCTCATTATATAGTGCAAGCTGGCCTTGAACTCATGCTGATTCTCCTGCCTCAGTCTTCCGAGTACTGGGATTATTTCGGTATTATTTTTAAAAAATGTACAATCAATAAAAATGATCCATTATATTTTGATTTTAAAAAATTAATGCATAAGTGATGCATTTGATAATGAAATAAATAATATCTTGTTTCCCCGGTCATTCTGGAAAAAATTTATGAATCTGGGAATAAGCCTATACCTGTAATCCCAGCACTGGGGAGGCTGAGGCAGGAGAGTTCCCGAGAGTTTGAGGTTACCTGGGCTACATAATGAGTTCAAGGCCAACCTCAACCACAAAATGAGGACCCTTCTCACCCCCCCAAAAAAGCATCTCAGGAGAAAAGCTTGTTTATCAATAGAACTCTCAACACAAGGAGCATGTAAAACCTGTACTGACTTTTTTTTGTACTAAAAGCAATGTTCAGGGAGTGCTAATATAATTGTGAGAAAAGTTACCTTTGGTACTGATTTGTTCCAGTGTGATTTTTGATTTAATAAAAGTTAACGAACTTGGGATACTGATTATTGACAGACCATTGCAATAATGTCTTAAATATTTTAAGGACCAACTGTAGAATTACGCCAAAGAAAAAAGCCAAAGTCTCCAGAAAATAAGGACTCTGCCAAAGAAGTGAAAGTTAATGATACTTCAGTTCCTGAAAGAACTCCAAAATGTAAGTTAGATTTGAAGTTGTACTATTACTACAAGCATAGTTATGCTACAGAGTGTGTTCAGATGGGCGTGGTAGTCCAGGCCTTTAATCTCAGCACTGGGGAGGATTGCTGTGAGTTTGAAGCCAGCCTCAGCTACTTAGTGAGTTGGAGGCCAGCTTAAACTACAGAATATGACTTTGTCTGAAGAAAAGAGAATGTTTTAATACTTTAAAACATATGAACATATCTTCAACTTTATTCAGTTTTGTGTCAATGAGAGAACAGCCACCAACCCTCGGTGCCTTACAGCAGACATTTCTTTCTGATGGATGCTACATGTTGTATGACCAGGTAGCTGTGTAGCTTCATGTGTTACAAAGGAAGAGCCTTGGTTTGGAGCAGTTTTTCCTTGGGCAGAGGAGAAGAGCAGGAGGTAGGCAGAACCCTACCGTGCCCCTTCTAGTTGCTGCTGAGCTGGAACACTGTCAGCCCAAGCAGGTGGAAGTTGGTCCAGCCCAGGGGACGCAGACATACTCTGATTACAGGAGGGCACTTTCGGTCACATGATAATGGGCAGGGATGTGTACTATTTTTATTTATTTGTTTACTTATTTTGTCATGCTGAGGGTCTAATCTAGCAGTGTGTGGTGCTAAACTTATATTGTACCACTCAGCTACATCCTGAGCCCTTGTAATCTTTCTAGAGGGCAAAGAGAAGATAATTGGGAGTAATGATAGAGTTTACAGCCCTTGTCCTGGGGTTGTATTTACTATCTTCTCTCAGACAAAAATATACTCCTGGGCCAGCAATATAGCTCAGTGCACTAAGGGCTTGCTTAGGTAAGTGCAGGGACCAGGATCTGATCCCTGGCACGGCATGTTGAGCTGTGATGGAGTCTGGGCATGGTGACACATGCCTGTAATCCCAGTACTAGGGAAGCAGAAATCAGGATGATCACTATGAGTCTATATAGGAATATAAGGAATATATATATATATATATATTCCTTACCTCCCCTACCCTAAGGAAGCCAACAGATTTATCCTCTCATAACTTGAATCTAGGGCCAGTCAAATAGCTCAGCAGATTAAAGCACCTGTAAGCAGGTGCAGGGGCCAGGGGTTCAATCCCTGGGCCTGACCTGCTGGCCTTGCACCCCCCCACCCCACCCCCCACCCCCGGCGCACTGAGATGGCAATTGAGGCTGGGCGTGGTGGTGTGCGCCTATAATCCCAGTTCTTGGGAGGCTGTAAACAGGCAAATCACTATAAGTCTGATCTAGTAATGAGACCCTGAACACCCTGTAGACCCTTCCCTAAAATACAAAAAAGAAAAAAATATATAGTGATAACATTCATCGTAGAAACAGTACCTAATTTTTAAAATTGACGTAAAATTAACATATAATCTTAGGTGTTTGAGTAAATACATTTTGGACATTAAATATAGGCAAGACAAGCTATGAAATATTTTCATTGTCTAAGACAATTTCATTATACTCCTTTCTGAAAGATGTCCCCTACACTTGAAGACTATCACTTGTTTTGATATTTACCACATTTATTTACCCCTTCCCTCCCTCCCTCCCTTCTCTCTCTCTCTCCCCCCTTTCTTTTTTCCCCCAGAGCTTTTACAGAGCTACCTTTTAAAACATTTAAACCTGGCCAGTCATGGTAGCATATGCCTGTAATCCCAGAACTCAAGAGGCTGACACAGGAGGATTGCCCCAGGTTCAAGGCTATAGTAAGGCTATGTAGTGAGTTCAAGATCAGCCTGATCTACATAGTGAGACTGTGTCTTAAAAACACAGAATTAGTTTCAGACAGGGTTTCACTAAGTAGCCAAGTTGTTCAGGCTGGACTTGAGTTTTGAGTCTTCCTGCCTCAGCCTCCCAGAGTGGTGGGATTGCAAGTGTGTGCTACTGTGGTCAATATACTTTTGATATTGAACAATGTATTTGACTAGATTTTACAGTTAATGCATAAAAATTAATGTATATTCATTTTAGCCATTTTTAAATGTATAGTTCTGTAGTGTTAAGCATATTTACCTTGTAAAGTAGATATCCAAAACCTTTTTTCTTGTGGCCTGTAGACTGATTAGAACCATTTTTAATTATGTAGAGTTGAGCATATACTACAGAATTCCCATATTACACCCTTCCCATTCATAGATTTCCCATTATTAACTTTTTTTTCTCCCCCCAGAACCAGGGATTGAACTCAGGCCCTTGCACTTGCCAGAGAAGCGCTTATTCCACTGAGCCATCTCCCCAGCCCTCATTATTGACATTTTTCACTTGTATGATACATTGGTTACAATGAATGCACTGATTTTTTTTTTTGTGTATGTGTGTTTTAAGAAAGGGTCTACAGAGTGTTCAGGGTCTCACTACTAGATCGGACTCGTGATCTGCCTGTTTGGAGCCTGCCAAGAGTTGGGATTACAGGCGCATGCCACCATGTCCAGTCTCAATTGCCATCTCAGTGTTCCCCTGGGGCAAGGCTGGCACGGCAGGAACCCCTGCACCTGCTTGCAGGCACTTTAATCTGCTGAGCTGTTTGGCCAGTTCTAATGCACTGATTTTTTTTTTTTTTTTTTTCTCATTTCAAAGGATTGAACTCAAGACCTTGCATTTGCCAGCTAATGCACTGATTTTGATACATTGTTATTAACTAAGACCCATACTGTATTCAGATTTCCTTAATTTTTATCTAATGTCATCTATTTCTGCTTCCCATAGACAGTACATTACCTTTTTTTTTTTTAAGTAAGGAGAAAATAGAAGTCTTTGGAAGTAATTTAGTAACTAACAGAATTACAATAAAGATGACTAAAATCCCAGAATTCGTAAGATGTAAATGTAAATATAAATCAATTATTGGATTTAATTGCATTAAACTGAAGATGGAAAGGACAAATTCTTGAGTCAGCATTTACCTCCTGGAGTCCTACATAGCTTTTCTAAAGAAATAGCTTCATTGCAGTTGATGGAGAAATTAAAAAAATTTTTTTTAATTCTTTTAATTATTTGGTACAGGGTCTTGCTGCTCAGTTTGGACTCATAGTGATCCTCCTGTCTCAGCTTCCTCAGCACTGGGATCGCAGGTGTGTGCCACCATACCTGGTTTTGGTGGCTAGCATGGTGTGCCTGGAGTTTCGGGGCTGGCACAGCATGTAGTACTGGGGATCGAATCCAGCTCCTTGTACTTGGCAGGCAGGTGCTTAGACCGTAGTTCCAGCCCCTAGACTGAGAATCTTTTTTTTAAAAGATTTAAAAAAAATTTTTTTGGCAGAACTAGGGATTGAACTCAGGCCCTTGCGCTTGCCAGGGAAATGCTTATTCCACTGAGCCATCGCCCCGGCCCCTCCAAAGATTGATTGATTTGGTACAGGGTCTTGCTTCGCAACTTTAACTCATAGTGATCCTTCTGTGTCAGTCTCCCCAGTGCTGAGATTATAGGTGTGCACCACGACGCCCAGTTTCAGTGGCCAGCACACTGTAGGGCCGGCATGGTATGCAGTACCAGGGATTGAACCTGGGTCCTTGTGCTTGCCAGGCAGGCGCTTAGACCACCGAGCTGTCTCCCCAGCCTAGACTGAGAATCTTAAAAGTGTCACATTTCAGAGCAGCTGCAAGATGTTTTCAGTAAAGCCTCAGCCTCCAGAGTCCAGACAGGGTGCAGGACTGTGGACAGATAAGTTGTTGTGTTTTCTTAGGCTCCCTTGGCTATGACAGTTTCTCAGGCTTCTTATTTTGATGACTTTGACAGTTTTGAAGAGTAGTAGTCATGTGGATTGTAGGTTGCCTTTCTGTTGGGTTTATTTGATGTTTTTCATTATTAGTAAAGTCATGGTTTTGGGGAAGAAAGTATTGAGTTAGAATGCTATTCTCATTACATCTAGAGTATATACTGTCTTTTGATTTTTTTTAAATATATTTTTTCAGATGTATTATTTCAGCGCTTTGCAAAGATTTTCATTGGCTGTCTTGCTGCAGTTACTAGTGGTATGATGTATGCACTGTACTTATCTGCATACCATGAACGGAAGTTCTGGTTTTCCAACAGGCAGGTAAGCACAAAGATTAGCATTTAATATTAATTTTTTTTAAAAAAATTATTTATTTGTGTGTGTGTGTGTGGCCAGCTCAGCCCACCAGGGTGCAGGCAGGCTGGCATGTGGTGCTGGGGGATTGAACCGCGGTCCCTGTGCTTTGCTTGGCTTAGCTTGTTCTAAGTAGGTGCTTTAGACCACTGAGCCATCTCACCAGCCCTTTAATATTAATTTGACTACTGTGTTTTCTAGGGAAAATATATGTATATGACAAATACTTTCTTTGTGGCTTTTAGAAACAAAATGCTGTGACAGTCACAGTGTCAACCTTGAGCTATATAATAAGATGCTTCACAGAGTACTAGGAGGGTGCTGTCCTGTACAATTAATTTTTTAGAGGCTGTTCTGGAAAAACCTAGTCCTGGTGGATAACAACTGGTTACAGGTGATGTGAAACCAAAGAAAGGGGCAAACAGATCCAGCATTGCACTGATACGATTTTTGGGGGGACTTAGGACAAATGCATGTCTTGGATGGCTAAAAGACAGGTGCATTTTTAAAATTTGGATCAGAAAGGGGACAGGGGCTTATATAATGGTCAGGATAAAAGTTTATGTGGGGCCAGGGAGATGGCTCGAGATGGCTCAGTGGAATAAGCATTTCCCTGGCAAGCGCAAGGGCCTGAGTTCAATCCCTGGTTCTGCCAAAAAAAAAAAGTGTATGTGATTTATCTTAAGCTAGTTTCAAGGGTGTTAGGCACTTTCCTGGTGTTGCCAGGGACGAGGTTGTAAGCTTCACATACCACTTTAATTGTGTCATCTGGGAAACTACTCATACTAATTGTATGCTGGGATACTGTGTATGGAGCAATTACACTGGTTATGTCTCAGGACATAAATCCCACAGAAACTTTCAGTAACAATGAAATGTTATAGAGTTTAGTCAGCCTTGTATTCAGAAACAATCTGAATATTTCAGTATTAAAATATTGTCATGTTTAGATTGCATGGTAGATATTGAGTTCAAAAAGACTAATAAGCAGAACATAGTATTCATTAAGATGTTGCTTCATATTACTGGGTGTTTCTGTTTTTTTATTTGTTTTGTTTTGAGACTGGGTCTCACTGTATAGTTCAGGGTGGTCTCCAGCTCATGGTGATCCTCTTGCCACAGCCTCTTGAGTACTGGGATTACTACCAGGCCCAGCCAGAATCCATATTTTTGTAAGAGCTCTAGGTATTTCACATGCACAGCAAATTTAAGAAGCACTGATTGAGAGTTTAGTTTTTAATATCCTGGAAGGAAGCAAATCTGTTTCCATTTAAAAAATCATTTTAATGTAATTTATGTAGTTTATAAGCTCTTAGTCCATTTAGGCTGCTATAACAAAATACACTGGCCAGAAGTCCAGGACAAGCTTGGTTCTGGTGAAGATCTGCTTCTTGGTTCATAGTGAGCCATGTTCTTGCAGTGTCTTCTCCGTGAAGAAGGAGCAAGGGGTCTTTGGGGGACCTTTGATCTTTCTTTTTTGGGGGCGGAACTGGGGAGTGAACTCAGGTGCTGGCGCTTGCCAGGCAAGTGCTTGTTCTACTGAGCTATCTCCCCAGCCCCTCTTTGATCTTTCTAGGGCCTCTTTTAAGGACCCTAACCTTGATCATGAAGGCTTTGGGTTATTTTTATTTTATTTTTATTTATTTATTTATTTTTGTGGTACTGGGGATTGAACTCAGGACCCTGCACTTGCCAGGCAAGCACTTATTCTCCTGAGCTATCTCTCCAGCCCCTAGCCAATGATTTTTGGGGCACAAAAACGTCTAGACCATAGCAAACTCTCAGTGGGAAAAAAAGAGTCATCAATTAAGTGGCCTTGGAGAAAGGCTTCTTGGAGATTCACAGTGCATAATATAGACTGAGAATTTCTTTTTAAAATATGGAATGCTTCATGAATTTGCATGTCATCCTTGTGCAGGGGCCATGCTAATCTTCTGTAGTGTTGCAATTTTAGTGTATGTGCTGTTAAAGTGAGCACTAGACTGAAACTCATCAAAAGTTCTACAATAAAAGAACTCATTTAATTTTGTTTAATTCAGTCTTTCTCAAAACATAACTACAGAGCTGGACATGGTGGTGCACACCTGTAATCCCAGCACTCGGGAGATTGAGGCAGGAAATTGTTGCAAGTGTGAGACCAGCCTGGGTTACGATGTGAGCTCAAGGCCAGTCTGAATTGCATAGTGAAACCCTATCTCAAAAAACAAAACAAAAAAACCCTTAACTACAAAACTCTTAAGTAACAATCATTAACATCTTAGGAAGTTTAAACTTCAGAAAAACTGCTAATAGCTTTTTTTGTGTTAATTGGTAAATATGGAATGAATATCTCTTCTTTGAAATGCTTGGGACTAGAAGTATATTAAGGTTTTTGTGTGTTTTTATATATTATCATATACTTCATGAGATATTTTGGGGATAGGACTTAAATCTAAACATGAAATTTGTGGGCCAGGGAGATGGCTCAGTGGAATAAGCACTTCTCTGGCAAGCACAAGGTCCTGAGTTCAATCCCCAGTTCCGCAAAAAAAAAAAAAAAGAAATTTGTTTATACTTCATATGCACTTTATACACATAGGCTGTAGGTTATTTAATTATTTATTTATTTTTTGGTACTGGGAATTGAACTCAGGACCTTGTGCTTTCCAGGAAGGCACATATGCCACTGAGCTATCTCCTTGGCCCTGTGGGTAATTTTACAGTGTTTTTCATGCTCCTGCATTTTGACTATGACCTATCACATGAGGTCATTTGTGGAATTGTCCACTTGTGGCATTCTTTTGGCTCACAAGAAGTTTTAGATGTTGGAATATGTAGAATTTTAGATTTTTGGATTAAGGATAGTCAACCTGTATTATGCATAAAAACAAATTATTTGAGTTTTTAAAAGATCATAGATTATGGAGCCGGGGAGATGGCTCAGTGGAATAAGTGCTTCCCCGGCAAGCACAAGGGCCTGAATTCAGTCCCTGGTTCCGCCAAAAAAAAAAAAAAAAAAAAAAAAAAAGATCATAGATTCATAAAAGTTTGATTTAGCATGAAAAGTATAAAGCATCCTAATGTTTTTACTACTACATTCTCAGTTCCCAGTAGCCTGATTTTAGGAATTTTAAGTGTTGGTTGTTTCTGGAATTTGATTTGAACAACACTGATTAAGTACAGTACATGTTGCTCTTAAAGTGCGAATTAAGGACTTGCTATTCAGGGCACGTAACATAGATGGATAGTAGAAAATACTTTCTCCTTAAGTTTGTCTTTTTTATTATTGACTTGAGACACTTCAGCTATCATTTGTTATTACTTGCCTTACAATTTTTTAGGACATTCTTTTGGTTTTCTCTTTATATTTTCTGCATGTAGAATGATTTATGAATTATAATTTATTTGCAACCAAAATGATTGCTGGATTATTAAAAAATTTAACCTCATCAGGATGGCCATTATAGATTAAAGAAAATTCAAACATGTTTGTAAATAAAAGGGCGAATATGTTAATTTGGAAAGAGAGGAAAGAAAAGAATGATTGCAGCTGAAATTAAAATTCTGATATTTAAATGCTCATTTCATTTTATTTTAGGAACTTGAACGGGAAATCACATTTCAGGGTGACAGTGCTGTTTATTACTCCTTTTATAAAGATATGTTAAAGGCACCTTCATTTGAGAGAGGTATGATAATCATAGCTGTATTTGTAAAAATATCTTTGTAGAATGAAATATTCCTCAAAATTGGAGCCTTAGAATATAGAGATTTTTCTCGGGGAATAGGTACTTCTATCTTGTTTGATAAAAAAAATTGGAAAAATAAGGCATGAAGTATTGTCTTTTGATATCTTTTTTAATAGTTTATTGAATGGCTAATGAACAATATGCTTATTTAATTATCGTAAAAGCAGAATAAATAATATGGAGAAAAATCTATCTTTAGGTGTCTACGAGCTCACACACAATAACAAAACTGTATCGCTGAAGACTATAAATGCAGTGCAGCAAATGTCGCTTTATCCAGAACTTATTGCCAGTGTTTTATATCAAGCTACTGGTAGCAATGTATGTATTTTTCTTTAGACTTTAATAACTATTTTCTTATGACTTAATGAATCCTCGAATTGTTTAATGTCGTCCTATTATTGCCCCCTTTCTTTTTCTATTTAGGAGATTATTGAGCCTATGTATTTCTATATTGGCATTGTTTTTGGATTGCAAGGAATATATGTTACTGCGTTGTTTGTTACAAGTTGGCTTATGAGTGGAACATGGCTAGCAGGAATGCTTACCGTTGCATGGTTTACCATTAACAGGTAAGGTATTTTATTTTGCTTTATTTTATTTTTATTTATTTTTCTTTTTGTAGTACCAGGGATAGGTAAGGTATTTTAATTAATAATTACAATTTTTTGTGGTTGTAGTGGTCAGTTTTTTGTTTTTTTTGTAATGATCAATTCTGAAAATACTCCCATCCCCCAAGATACCCTAACCAAATCCCCAAACCTGTGATTGTGCTGAGACATCCTCCATGTGACTATGTTGTATCATACAGTGTGACACAATGTACCTTAAGACAGAGAGATTACTCCAGGGGCCTGATCTAAGTACATGGATCTGAAAGCAGAGTGCTTTTTTTAGGTGGTAGATAGGGAGAAAGCAGGGAAAGCAGAGCATGAGAAGAATTCACTGTCCCACTGCTGACTGAAAGTGAGGAGGAAATGAGTTCTGCCAACAACTAGTGAACTTACAAAAGTACCCCAGCATTTGCTAGCACACACCAGATCTGGGTGAGAACCACAGCCCTGGCTGGTACCTCAATTTTAGCTCCACTAGCCTTTGTGGGATAATGCTTACATTATTTTATGTCATTACATTTTTTACTGTTTATCATGGAACAGTTGCAAGGTAATACACCAGTTTTGTATCTCTCTTTTACAAATTAGAACAATGTATACATGACTATACCTCTTTTTCCTTTTAATTAAGATTGACAATACAGCTTCTTGAAAAGCAGAAAGCACAGCTATACAGTATTAAACTAACTACCCTAGAAAAGGACTCCATTAATCAATAAAGCATACTTTGAATTAGTAAACTCATCTCCTTTGATAATTAAAGAAGCTGCCATTTTGTGGTAGGAAGTTAAAAGAGAGTAGGGTATGGAGCTTCTCTGAAATGGAAATCTGGTCAGAGACATGCATTAAATTTTCCTCTGATGGTGATACAGGGACGTGAAATTCCCAACCTGGCCTGAATGAGTTTGTGTTCTCTAAAACCGAAGAATGGATTTTAGGAACAAACGGAGGCTGAAGGTAAAACTTTATTGGAAAGGAAAGCTTCTGTCAGAGAGGGACAGAAGAGGGTCCCGAGCAGGTTGCCCAGGAAACTCTTTCGGGTTATTTTTATAGGACAAAACCGTGCAGGGCTAAGGTAGAAACAAAGGGGTCCTGCTTAGGCAGATACAGTTTGGGACAAAACTATGGTCAACCAGTGGGATTACAAGCACCATTGCTCAGGTAAAATTTATTAGGCCTAGGACCAAATGGGATAGCGAGTCATGTAGCAAGTGGGCATGAATATAAATCGGGACCTTATCTGGTGGCCTTCAGTCGATGATTCTTCCTGACTAATGAGCAATCCTGTATGCCAACTTTAAGGAGGTCAGCACTTGTTTGATCTTTAGGTCTGGCTCACACCAGGAGTATCTCCCTAGTAAGGTGTCTGGTCTTTGTCATCTCCTTCGAGGGCCTGTCCATGTCTAACTACCTACAATATTTCTATCTTACTCAGGCTGCCTGTAACAATGGGACAGAGTCATAAACTTACTTTGGTCTGGAGATTAGACCCAGTGCACTGAACTACATCTGCAGACCCTTTTTTTATTTTATTTTATTTTTATTTTTTCCCTTTTTAATTTTTTCTTTATTTTTTAGTCTTTTGGTGCTGAAGACTAAACTCAAGGCCTCATACTTGCTAGGCAAGTGTGCTACCACTGAACTAAGTCCAACCACCCTTCTTTTTAAAATTTTGAGGCAGGGTCTTGCAAAGTCACTGCAATTGCCTAGGTATGGCCATAATTTATGATCCTCCAGCCTCAGTGTTCAAAGTGCTGGGATTACAAGTGTCTGCCACCACACCTGGCTATAAAGTACTCCTCCTCTAGAGTACTCCTCCTCCATAGCACTTAACACAGTTGCATTTTTTAGAAATACAACATTGCTTCTGTTACGTATTTTCTTTTCTTATTTTTTGGTGGAACTGGAGATTGAACTCAGGCTCTTCTACTTGCCAGGGAAGCGCTTATTCCACTAAGCTGTCTCCCTGACCCCTCATATTTTCTTTTCTTAGGCAGTTGCTAGATGAAAAATATGCTTTCAAGATACTAAGATATAGCATTAAGAACTATGTTTCTGTTAGATTTTTTTGTTTTTGGAGGGATAGTGGTATGGTTTTTTTTTTCTTTTAAATAGTGTTGGGAATTAAATTCATACTAGGCAAGCACTCTACTACTGAGGTATGTCACTAATCCTTTCTGAATTTTATTTTGTTGTTTTTTTTTTAAACATTAATGCTTACTTTATTTATTTATTTATTTTTATTTTTTATTTTTTATTTTTTTATTTTCAAAGTGAATTTTATTTTGAAACAATGTCTCAAGCAAAGTTCCCCAAGCTAGCCTCAGACCCTGGAGGTTTCTGCCTCAGTCTCCTGAGTAGCTGAGATTGTAAGAATGCACCACTGTGCCCAGCATGTGTTGATTCCTTATACCACAGTTTCTACTTTTGTTGTTTCAATAACTGTTTATCTTTTTTTTTTTTTTTTTGCGGAACCAGGGATCAAACTCAGGCCCTTGAGCTTGCCAGGGAAGCGCTTATTTCACTGAGCTATCTCCCTAGCCCCAACTGTTTATCTTTTTAAGTAATTGTTTTTTTTTGCAGTGCTAGAGATTGAACCCAGAGCCTCAACATTGTAGTCGTGGTATCTTTCACTGAGGCACCCCAGTCTACTTTTTTTGTCTCACATATGTGCTTAGTCTGCATTACATTTTCCCTGGTTAACCTGAAATACCCTAGGTGTTTGGTTTATGAAAACCAGAAATGTGGGCCAGGGAGATAGTTCAGCGGCCTAAGTGCCTGCCTGGAAAGTGAAAAATCCTGAATTCAATCCCTGATACAGAAGGGAGGGAGGAAGAGAGGGAGGGAAAAAAGAGGGAGGGAAGGCAAGGAAGGAAGGAAGACAGGAGTGAATCCATGACTACATATACTGCATACGTTTCTTAGTTCTTTTTTTTTTTTTTTTTTGCGGAACCAGGGATTGAACTCAGGCCTTTGCGCTTGCCAGGCAAACACTTATTCTACTGAGCTATCTCCCTGGCCCCCGTTTCTTAATTCTTATTAAATGTACTGTAGTCCCTATTTTGAAGAGGTGAGGTTAGCTGTCCAACAGAAAGTGTTACTTTTTGGAATTCTTTTATCCTTTATGTGTCATTTAATTTATACCATTAATATTCCATGTTTCTGCAATCTGGAAATTTCAAGATAGACAACCCAGTTTAGAATATATTGTGGATGATGCATTTTTCATGTTCCACAGTGTTAAAGTGATCAGCCATTTCAGTGATCTACCCCTAGTGAAGCTGAGATTGGCTACTAGTTGTTTTTGTCTTTTTTTCCCCCCTTTTTTGAGACAGGGTCTTGCTATGCAGATCAGGCTGGCCTTCAGCTCACTTTGTAGCCTAGGCTGGTCCTTTTTTTGGTGGGGGGGGCAGGTACCAGAGATCAAACTCAGGACCTTGTGCTTGCCAGGCAGGCACTTATGGCACTGAGCTATCTCCCTGGCCTTTTTTTTTTTTTTTTTTCATTTTAAAGAAGAATTGTATTTAAACATCAAGACACTTAAAGGGAAAACTATCTAGGATTCTTCTTTTTTAAAGAGTAATGTGCTCCTACTTAAAGACAGATTGCCTTCCATGTAACATCTACGTACAAAAAAAAGTTATAAAATTGTCCTTGGTTTTACAATGATAAATGAAAAACATTAAAATTCTCCAATCAAACAGGGTGTGCAAGGAATTTTATGTTGCTGTCTTTTCTGTTAAAACAATGAGAGAAAAATAACTTACTGGAATATAAAGATAAGAGCTGATGAGCATGCCACTAATGGAGAAAGGAGATTATTTTCACAGAACCAGTAATTCCCCATCTCATCTCCATTTGATGTCAGTCAAAACATACTGTTGGCCATTTAGTTTAAAAAAAAGCAATATGGGCTGGTGAGATGGCTCAGTGGTCTAAAGCACCTACTTAGAACAAGCTTAGCAAAGCACAGGGACCTCGGTTCAATCCCCCAGCACCACATGCCAGCCAGCCCCGCCCCCTGGTGGGCTGAGCTGGTCACACACACACACACACACACACACACACAAATAAATAAAAAATAAAAAAAAGCAATATGCTTGTGCACATATACCAGATACTTTATGCACAATAAAGGAATGGGGAAAGGGTAAATGAAAGAATAGAGAAAACTGTACTGTAGTAGTCAGGATGTGGTGGAACCAAATTGCAGGTTTCTAATTGAGAATGTATTCTTGGTCTGTAAGAACAGAGTTCTGGAGTAGTTGCAGGTTCCCTTTTTAATAGACACCTCCTTTCTGCTGCTGGAACGTGTCAATTATATCTTCATCCTCCATTTCCAACTGTGCAGGTGTGTCTGTTTCATTGATTGGCTGTCCATCAAATCGGAATCTGATCTATCTCATTGACAAACGCTGTCATTCACAGTAGGCTTTCATTAGTTTACTAAGTTGTGTATGCCTCTTAGTCTTAAACTGCACCACAGAACCATCCTGTCCTGCCACCTTCAAATTAATGTGATCGTTGTTCTCAGTCTTGACTCCTTCCTTGGGCTTTTTGTCTGCCATAGCGAACGCCTGAGTCTTCTTAGCTGCTGCTCACAAAAGAGATGCCAGGTCTGCACTGAATAAGCACACAAGCAGCACTAGGAGCAGCAGAAAGAGGCAGCAGCGCTGGTCGAGGGGCCTCCCTAGCCCTTTGATGTAATTTTTGTTACATGTACTCTTGGAAATAGGCTCCTTCCCTCCCTGGGGTAAATGTGGCTTCTTAGGTCTGCAAGAATTCAGGCTATACTCAGGCCACTTTCTGGCTTTTGTGTGGGTCTTCGGGCGCTGCATCTCACACCAGCTAATGGGAACCATCTGGACACCGGATTCACTGTGAGCCACCACCACCCTGAGCTCGTTTTCAGCCGTGGTCAGCAAGTAATTGGCCTGTGCATCTCCTAGGGATATCACTTTGGCCAAGACAATGTCACCTGTGCGGAAACTCTTATAAATTTCAACCTTGTTTTTTTCAGTCACTTGGACATCTTCCTTGCAGATGATAGTTCCTCAAAAAGAGTTCTTAAGTGGTGTAGAGCCTATATATAAGATGTAGACTTTAGCAAAATGTGAATTGATGCTACTAGAGACCTTACAGGTGACACTAGCTCCCACATCTGGCAGTAGCTGGAACTCTGTTTCTCTCATCACAATTACTGCAGGAAGTACACAATTACTGCAGGAAGTACTCTTCTTGGTTAGGCAGCTGGTCAGTGACAAAAACATGTAGCCATGGCCGTGGA